GTAGCTGGACTAAAGCAAAGGTCGTCTTACTAATAATCTATTGAACAGAGAAAAATAAACTCTCAAACAGAAAGTGAGGGAAATAAACTCACAGCACATCATTGTGCCATTTAAGAAGAAACTCACAACACAACTACCTCCTTTTGTTTTGTTTCTATTAAAACATCTGTGGGCCTGGGGCGGTGGCTCACGCCTGCAATCCTAGCACTCTGGGAGGCCAAGGTGGGCGAATTGCTAGAGGTCAGGAGTTCGAAACCAGCCTGAGCAAGAGCGAGACCCCGTCTCTACTATAAAATAGAAAGAAATTAATTGGCCAACTAATATATATAGAAAAAATTAGCCGGGCATGGTGGCGCATGCCGGGAGCCCCAGCTACTCGGGAGGCTGAGGCAGGAGGATCGCTCGAGCCCAGGAGTTTGAGGTTGCTGTGAGCTAGGCTGACGCCAAGGCACTCACTCTAGCCTGGGCAACAAAGGGAGACTCTGTCTCAAAAAAAAAAACACACAAAAAAAAACACCTGTGGCCTCATTCCTCATTTGTTATCTCTAAGAGTTTCCTTTTCATAGCCTTAAAGAGCCCTAAGCAGACAGTAGGGTATGATCTCTCTACTCTAGCTCAACTCTCTCCAGGCAGATTTTAAGGACTCAGATAAGCCGGAAAGGAGCCTGCAACAGCTTCACCACTGTTTCTCTTATCAACCTGCTAAAGCAGAGAAAAAAATGAATCCATTTTTACATTTAAAAACACCAGCCACTTTTCCTCAGCTGCCCGGCATTTTCACTCCTTCCTCTGTGTGCCTCGGCCACTCCTCCCTTCTCTTTCTCTATTTCTTTCTTTCTGCAGAAATAAACTTTTACTTCTGTATACCCTAATCACTGTGTGAGAACTTTCTCCAACCCATGCCATGCGCTCCTCGTGCGCCCGCACCTTAACACTAAGATACAGATTTTGTGTTTTATCGAGAAAATTTTGTTTTGTTTTTATTAGGTTTCCGACTACTTTGAAAAACTGAGATTTAAAAGGCTTAAGATTTCTATATCCATCCTGTATTGTTTTTGAAGTTTTTTGATTATCACTCTGGTTAAATAAATGACTATTATTTTACAGTGACCCATGATTCTGTTTTGACCAAGTGTTTTGAGCCTCTTAGCACATGAAAAACATGCCCCAAATCAAATTCTAATTTAAATCTCTTTAACTTGAAACTAACTTTGGGATTCTCCAGCTGGGCCTAAAGGCATCTAAAGATTTATCTGCCATCTTACAGAGCTATTAATATTAAATTATTAGGCTTATTTGCTAAATTGCATAAAAACATTGCCAAATGATAAATAATACCAGATCTTTCAGTTGTAAAAGGAAACAAAAATTATAAGGACCAGCCAAACTCGTTATGCCAAAAAGGGAGTTATGTCTGGAGCCTGAGTCACCCAACACCCATTTTCCAAATACATGGTTGTTGCTTCCCAATCTTATGTTAAAATGTGTTTTTTTTGAGACAGAGTCTTGCTTTGTTGCCCAGGCTAGAGTGAGTGCCGTGGCGTCAGCCTGGCTCACAGCAACCTCAAACTCCTGGGCTCAAGCGATCCTCCTGCCTCAGCCTCCCGAGTAGCTGGGACTACAGGCATGTGCCACCATGCCCGGCTAATATTTTATATATATATTAGTTGGCCAATTAATTTCTTTCTATTTATAGTAGAGACGGGGTCTTGCTCTTGCTCAGGCTGGTTTCGAACTCCTGACCTCGAGCAATCCGCCCGCCTCGGCCTCCCAGAGTGCTAGGATTACAGGCGTGAGCCACCGCGCCCTGCCTTGTGTTAAAATGTTACACGTTAACTAGAGCCCTACGAAAAACAAAACCCCTCATGCTTCTGCAGATGGCTGCCCTTACAAATTGTTCATAAGTATTAATAAATTCTTCGCTTAGCTCCTAAAACTTCCACGATATACCTCCTCCCATAAATAATGCTGTGTCAGTTGTCACTTTAGGTCTGCAACCTAAGCCTGACCGTTTGTCCACAGAACTAAAGTCTGTTAAATTTCACACTGACAACAGAGATTGTAAGGGGTAGAACCAAGACAGGATGAGACGAACCATTCCTCCACCAGGCTCTGAGATGTGTCCAGAATTAACTTTTCCTTTACTTCTTCAAATGCTTACCTTATCTCATGAATAGCATAGCTTCACTGGGTGCTGTTAAAATCATGAGAATATAACCATTTGCCTCACTGCCTACCCCCTTTTCCTCGTGTGCATTCTCCAAGGTATAAATGCTGAGCCTCCCTAAACCTTTGTTTTGGAGCACGGAACTCAGATGACTCTGTGACTTGCACTTTCCGGACTTGTGTTTTCCTGGTAGGCCCGCAAGCTGCAGCTTCATGAACCTCAGTTGGCTCAGACCCTTGCCTCAGTCTCTCATTTGGGTTGACAAGTTGCATTTATGGCTATATCGTTGATATAAATGTTTCAAAATGTATATCAATTTATTAAAATCTAATATGTTGTCAGTCATAACCTTGGTTGTTATCTTAAAATACTGTATGTAATAAAAATAACTAAATCTTGGAGACTCTAAGCTTTTAACAGATTTTTACCATGGCTGTTCTAAGATTTTGTCTTCCACTGTCATTGTTTGAAATTCTTTCCTAAAACATTTACAACTTCAGGCTCATGGAAAAGACTCCAGTAAGTACTCTTAAACACAGGTTTCTAATGACATTAACCTCAATGGACTAAATAAAAGTTTCCAGAACTGAAAACTGGACTGGATGGACTATAGTCCCAGCTACTCGGGAGGCTGAGGCAGGAGGATCATTGGAGCCCAAAGTCTGAGGTTGAAGTGAGCTAGATGATGCCACCACACTCTTGTCTGGGCAACAGAGTTCAAAAAAGAAAAAAAAAAAAAAAACCCAAACCCTGCAAAATTGATGGACTCATGAAATTACTAATGGAGATCAAACAAAAGGAAAGTCAATTACATGAGACTAAATAACTGACAAAGATAATGTTTATTATGACTTTTATTTGAAATATTGTTGATTTATTACTCAAATGTTTTATCTTTTAGATTTAAGGAAAGTTTCTCTCTTAAGCTACTGTCAACGGAAAAAAAGCCAAACTCTGTAAAATAATTTTAAAGAGATGTATTCTGAGCCAAATTTGAGGACCATGACCCGGAGCCACTGCCAAGGGGCCTTGGGCAAGTGGACTCGCTGTGGCTCGGTTACAGTTCGGTTTTATACATTTTCTGAGAGACAGTGGCTACAGGAAAAGTCACAAATCAATACATGAGAGGCATACATTGGTTTGGCCCAAAAAGGTGGGACATATCCACGTGGGGGGGGCACTTACAGGTTATAGGTGGGTTTAAAGATTTCTTGGCTGGCAATTGGCTGAGAGTTAGACTTTATCTAGAAGACCAGAAAGGATATGCTTATTTTAAGATAAGGGTGTGAGCACTCTGGGAGGTCCAGACAGGAGGACATTTTAAGTTTACAATAGGCGCCTGCTAGGATGCTTTAAGATGCTTTAATTTTATGAATAGGCATCTGCTAGGATGCTTGAGTTATGATAGGGGCTTCTTATCTTTTAGGTGATGTTAATGTCATACCAAAATCAGGTTGCAAAGTAAACCACCGCTTTATTTGGTTAACAAAAGCCGCTTAGTGGGAATTTAGCATTTGTCAGCCTGACCCAGCTGGCCTCCCTTAGGAAGGAGTTTTTAGCAAAAGAAAAAGATCAGAGTGTAGTCCTCACTATTTATAATTTACAGGAATGTGCTAAAATATACCCCTGTCACCCTAGATAACATCATTTTTTTCTTCTTAATTCCTCCAAGAATTCGGAAATTGTGATTATTCTTATGGTGATACGATTACTTGCAAAAGTCCAAGACAAACTTGCTCCTTTTTTATAACAAGATGCAATTGAAAACATTGGTTATATACCAAGGCTTGGACTAAACCATCATATTTGAAAGTTACATAAAATACGTGATTTCAGGTTTTCCCAGCCTTACAGTAACTAAACACTGTCACTTGGTGGCAGGACAGGAACCTGGGGACTGTCGTAAACTCTAAAGTCTGCCTTGGTTTGGCTTCCAAGCCTCAAGAAGTTTTTTAATATGAGATTCCTTTATGATCAATATGAATAAAAAAACCCCTTATGATTGTTTTAAAAAGCTACGGTATGTCTGTTATTAGATTGTAACTCTAAATTATTTTTCAGTCCTTCTTCTCTTAACACCTATGGGCCAGACTAGGTCCTAAATTCTTCTAGCTTCCTCCAATCCAGCTTTCCCATTATTAAAATGGGAACTGGTCCGTAACGAAAGCCCTATAAGCTAAAACTAGATACATAACAAGGAACAAGTCTGGGCAAAGTTCATGTGGGACTTATCTGTGTGACACCTAGACTCTACAGGCATTCTGGTGACTGGAGACTGCTCCAAGTCCTCCCCACTTAGGACTGAATTTTCACAGAGGCTCTAGTTTATTATTATCCAGGGATGCTTGATATGTGTCAAGACGACAGGATGTCTCTCTGGGTGCAAACTGAAGGCCATCTCATTCTCTTGAGCTTGAATGACGTTTTCTTTCCCTTTGCAATCCCTTTCTGTCCTGCTACACCTGGGGAGGCGGGGGTGGGTCTCCATCAGAGGGCCCTCTGCTAGGCCAGTGGAACCCAGAGAAAATCAGAATGAGCCTGAGAAGCCTACCCACACCAGAGACCTCCCACTCCAGGGCCTCTCCAGGAAGAGGGTGGAGCCACCACCCACAAACCTCTCGGAGATCACTTGAGGGAGGGACCCATACACAGGAAATGGAAACCTACTGCCCCAGACAATTAGCTGGGCAGGGACCAGCCAGCCCAGGAGCCCGTAGGATGACTCTACGGATCAGGTACCCCTGTCTCCTGCCCCTGGGGCCCCTGCTGTCCCATCTTGACCTTCCTCAACCCATTTGTGACACCAGGCTCACTCGCACTGGCTCCCCTGCAGCACCACCCCTGGAGCGTCCTGGCTTGGTCTGTGGACTGCCCGAGCCTGCCCCTCCCCCGCCCTGCACCCGCTGAGCCTCACTGGAAGCCTAGGCCAGGTGGCCCTGCCCCATGGGGGCGGCTCCCCAGGCACTTCCCGCCTTTCCCAGCTCCCTCAGCAGGGAGAGCTGCGCCAGAGGATCACTGGGGCGCTTGGGATGATTCCGTGCACGCCCCTTGCTGGACTTGTGCGCCATTCACACGTGCCAACACCAAGTCTTAGCACAGGGTGGGAGGAGGGGCAGCTCTCTGAGGGGACAGGCTAACCCTCCTTTCCAAGGACAGCTGCCCTGAGAGCGGAGGAGTGGTGCAGACGGCCGAACCCGCGCAGCCCTCCGAACCCGCGCAGCCCTCCGTGACTGCACTTCGCCTTTGGGAACGGCGCCTCTGAAATGGAATGTGACAGAAAGTGTGACGATCAGGAGAAATGCTCCTACTTTAAACTTTGGTCTAAGGAGCGCAGGTGCAGGAGCGCACACTCCCGCAGGCAGGCCGCGCGATGCAGCAGCTGGACTCCCTCTGGCCAGGCCAGGGGACCCAGCCTGTCACTCACCAGCTCTGTGACCTGGGCAGGTGACCACACCCCTCTGGCATCTCATCTGTAAAATGGGGATGGCCCCCAGGCTTGGGGCAGGATTACAGGAGCTCAGATCCATGCAGCAGGTGGAACAGAAGCCCGGGCCTGTGCGCGTGGGAGCCACGCACAGTTACACACACAATAGTAACACACACAGGTGCAAAGTCAGGAACGAACTGAGCCAAAATGGTAAAAGCTACTATTTTTGCATCAGAGGTTTTATCCTCCCTTGCTTATTTCTAATGATTTGGGAGAGGGGTGGGCAGAAATGCGGGGAGTGTGGGGGTGTCCCACTGAAAACACCAGAGCTGGGGCCGGAGCTGGGAGAGGTCACCCCCACCTGCTGCCCTTGCCAGCACCCTCTTCCTCTCCCCCCAGGCTTCCTGCCTAGGAAGGCTGCAGGGGCTCAGGGCTGTGCAGGGATGGGGCTGGCCTAGTGTCCAGGGGTGCAGGGAGCTCAGATCAATGGCCTTCAGACTGCAGGGTTACCAGGGACATTCTATTTTATGTTTCTGTCTTGTGCCTCCAGAAATCCTATGGTACGAATATATCCAAAAACATTCTACTACCACTTTAACAATAGACCCATCCTCTCTGGCCGGAACGACACCTGGCTGTGCTTCGAGGTGAAAACAAAGAACTCACCTGTATCCTTCTACAGCGGGGTCTTCCGAAACCAGGTATGGTCCACACTCCAACCACACCTGGGCAGGAACAAAGCCACTTGGGAATGCACAACACACAGTAGCAACATACAGTAGCAAATGCCAGAGAGCGGCTCTCATTGCATGTTTTCGTCCCACATTTAAGTCCTCAGCTGGGACGTTCCTGCTGGGTGGCCCTGGCCTGATGGTCGAGGGTGTGGCTGCTCACTGCCACCGTGTAGACCCACCCAGACGCCACCAGTGCAAGTTTCCCAGAGTCCTGTAACTGAGCTTTGCGTCCAGCAAATGCAGGGACAGGGCACCGTGGAGAGTTGGGTTTGGCCTGGACACTGCTGGGCTGGCTGGGCCCCCCCACAGCCCTGATGGTGTCATCGCACCATGGTGACCCCGCACGCCTCACCCTGCAATGCCCCAGCCACCCCTGCCCTCCTCACCCAGGCAGGAGACCCCCAGGGTGTGCTGTGGGGGCGGTTGTGGGGGGCAAGCCGGCTCTACAGCAGTGTCATCCCATGGGCACTCGGGGCAGAACTGCAGTCACAGTCCCCAGTCCCCACACTGAGAGGGCGGTAGGAACCGGGACCGGGACTGGAACGTGCTGCGTAGAGCAACGTCTCCACGCTGTTTCACCCTGCGGTCCTGCGCCCCTCAGGAGACACCAGCGCCCTCTCCTTCTCCCGTGCACTTCCCTGGTGCCACGTCTGCATTCAGAGCCACATGTCATGTGCTCAGCGGCCACCCGTGGCCATGGCCCCCAGGGGTGGTGCAGCCCCACAGCCGTCCCCAGCAGGCAGCAGGCAGGAACCAGCCCCAGCCCAGAGGGCCAGGCCGGGGCTCAGGGTGGCTGCTGGACGGACGGCGGGACAGGCTTCCGCAGCCAGGGCGGGAGCCAGGGGTGGGGCCAGGGAAACTCACACTGAGTGTGAAAGAGAAGAAGAGGAGGGATGGAGGAGGAAGCTCCAGGAACCAAATGCCCTGGGGCTCCTGGCCAGGGCCCTCCCGCCACTGCCCCTCCCCTGCATGGCCTGCCCCTCCACCCAGAGCACCCCTTCCCTCCTCCTCCTCTCCCAGGGTCCCCGAAATGCTCGTTGCCACACAGAACTGTGCTTCCTCGCTTGGTTCGAGCACAGGATGTCACCTAACCAGGACTACCAGGTCACCTGGTATACATCCTGGAGTTCCTGTGCCAACTGTGCGCGGCGCGTGGCTAAGTTTTTGTCTGAACAGCCAAATGTGAGCCTGACCATCGTCACAGCTCGCCTCTACTACTTCTGGAAACCGGATCACCGACAGGGGCTCCTCAGGCTGGTTAAGGAAGGGGCCCAGGTGCGAATCATGTGTTATGAAGGTGAGAAGTCACTATCAAGAGTGGGGCTGTGGGAAGGACACTGTGAGGAATGCGTGAGTCTGGCCTGGACGTCAGCAGAGGGTCAGGGTTCCAGGGGAGCCTACCTAGGCCTGACTGCTTTCTGCCTCCTTCATCTCAGACTTCGAACACTGCTGGGAAGAATTTGTGTACAACCGTGGGAAGCCTTGGGTCACAAATAACAATAAACTGAAGAAAAATTATCAGGACCTGATCACCCACCTGGAGGGTATCCTCAGGTGAGAGGCTCCCCAGACAAGCCGCCAGGCTCCCTGGCCTCCCTGCTTCCCCTCCGACCTCCCCCCCTGCCCAGACCCACTGCAGCCGGCCACCTGCCTCCTCCTGCCCCTGGCCGGGCGCTCCTGGTGCTGCCCCGCCCCAAGGCCTGATCCCTGCTCCTGGGCCCTTCCTGCCACCGGCTGTTCTTCCCTCTGGACCGACCTCCCCCCCCAGCTGGAGGCCCTGGCCTGGCTCCTTCCCACAGGCCACGGTCCCCGATCCGTCGCTGACTGCACGTGGATGGCGGGAGCGTGTGCGGGGGTGACACCGAGAAGCTCAGAGAAGCTTCCTCCAGGGAAGACGGGGTCTAGCAGGCATGAGCGCCCCCCATGAACGTGACTTTGCAGGCTGGGTCTCCCAGGGGACGCCGCAGAGGAGGTGCTGACACGCCGGCTCCAGTGTGCTTGCGGTTCTGGAGGCCGAGGGTCGGCGATCACGGGGTCGGCAGGGTCTTGTCCTCCGAGGCCTCTGTCTCCCCGGCTCAGGGACGGTCATGGGGACTGTGTTCTCACTGGTCTTTCCTCTGTGCCCTGCACCCCTGAGTCTCCCGGAGCCTCAGAATGCCATGGTCTTCCACATCCCCGGGCACGTGGGCCTAGGGCCCGCTGCGGCCTGGCCATCATTGATTCAGCTCCTTAGGGGGCCTGTCTCCAAATACCCGCACTCTCCAGTGTGGGCTCAGGGCTCCCTAAGCCCAATGTCTGGTGGGGACAGCTCAGCCCATGACAGTGACTGTGGGCCTCTGGGGTCGACCCCAGCTGGGCAGTGCGGGGGCCACTGCTCCCTGTGTCCACCACCCAGGTGGCTCCTACCTGGCCCGCACAGCCCCCATCCAGTCCTTGGCCCCCTTCGCACCCCCATGGCTCCCCCATCGCTCTGGCCCTCCCTCCCTGTCCCCCTGTCCAAGTCCCGAGGTGGACCTGGGCGAGGACGAGCCTCGGGCTGGGCTAGAATGCCCAGAGAGAGACACTCAGTGGGTCAGCTCACGTTTCAATAAAAAGGAAAAAAAGCAGCTTTGGGGGACACAGGGGCATGGAGATCCTCAGAGCCTTTCCAGAAAGCAGGAGAGAAAGGAGGAGGCAGCCGGGCATCAGGGAGGCCAGGCAACGGCAGCTCAGGCCTCAGGGGAGGCGGGAAGTGAGCTCCTGGGCCGAGGACCACAGGAGCAAACTCCAGCTGAGCAGCTGTGAGCCACTGTGGGCAGGGTCCCAACACAGTGGCCTGGGACACCCAGTGCTGTGGACGTGGCATGGGGACTAGAGGAAGCAGGGGCTCAGCCGGACAGGTGCAGCTCCAGGCAAGCAGATGCAGAAGACAGAAACGCCACTGGACTTGAGGGTGGGAGCAGGCATGGCACCCTTGAGGACACCTGGGGCCCAACCCCCACTCCTGCCTCCCTTCCCGGCCCTCTGAGTCTGAAGGCCTGGGAGGTGATACACCTAGCTCCTGACTCTCCCTCTGTCCCCAGGGCTGCTGGGTGGGTGCTGTCCCTGGGCACAGGTCCCAGGGCTGGATCCAGGGGCTGCCCTGGCTGCTTCAGCCTGTCCAGGGTGATGCTATCTCTGTTCCAATGTCCCCCAAGGGGCAGGCCCAGAGAGGCCCAGGTCTGTATACACACTCCTTGGCTGTTTGGGCCTAAGTGGACCAGGCCAGGCCGTGTCCTCCTCCTGCAGACCAGAGGCAGAGGCCCAGGTGGGTCTCTGCTCCCAGGATCTTCCTGGTCCAAAGCAGCAAGAATGCTCCACGTGACAACAGCCACAAAGGCTCCTCCTTCTTCTCCATCATTCCTGCTTCTCAGGCCTGGGTGTCTCTGCCTCTCCCCCAGGCCTCCTGCCTGGGAAGGCTGCAGGGGCTCAGGGCTGCACAGGGCTGGGGGAGACCCGGTGCCCAATGGGTGCAGGGAGCTCAGTTCAGTGGCCCTGAGACTGTTGGACTCCAGGGACACTATCTGGGTTTTATGATTCTTTCTTGTGTCTTCAGACACCCCATGGATAGAATATCTGCAGAAACATTCTACCACCAGTTTAACAACACAACCAGCCTCAAAGATAGGAAAAGCACCTGGCTGTGCTTTGAGGTGGAAACAAACAAGGACAGCGGCTCACCTGTGTCCTTCCACAGAGGGGTCTTCCGAAACCAGGTATGGTCCACACTCCAACCACACCTGGGCAGGAGCTAAGCCACTTGGGAATGCAAAGCACACAGTAGCAAGGCAAATGCCTGATAGCGGCTCTCATTGCATGTTTTCGTCCCACATTTAAGTCCTTGGCCGGGACGTTCCTGCTGGGCGGCCCTGGCCTGATGGTCGTGGGCGTGACTGCTA